TTACATGCATTCAACCAAGGGATATTCTTACGACAAATATCCACTTTGACAATATACATCTACTGTGTGCCGCTCATTTCATTTCGGTGGAAGCGGATATTAAATAAAGCCATTTCACACACACAAACGTGTACATTACATGTGCATGTCATATATTTATACAATGGCCACATGTGTGTTAATTCTCGCCTTCACCCCGTTATAATTTACTTATTTTGAGTACACTTTTGAATGATTCCATTTCTTTGTACGTTCAACTTCCCGATTTTCTACTGCATATACATGTGTACATGTACTCTGTGTAACTGCAATCTACATGTAACTTAAAATTTTTTAAACGTATTTCATCTTATTGGCTGCTATCAAATCCAAACTTTAAATTATATATGATGAGATTTTACACATTACTTCATTACTCGCAGCTTCAGTTAATCTAAATCAACCATGCATAACTCACAGTGCCATACATGTTAAGCACGTGGTCAGAAACACGCGAAAACATGAGATGTTGGGATCGACACGGGGACTATATATTCTTACGCTGTGTTACTTGGCGAAAAGTATTTAGCAAACCTTGACAGTCACCGGTATATGATAATAATGTATTATGACGTATTAAAATAATATGGGTGGGAGGGGGTACACTGCCAAAGTCACAAAAGTGATAGCGCCATGTATTTGTTATTTTACAAATTCCGTATCCATAGTACTAGTAGTAGTAGTATCCTGGTGTTTAACGTCTGCTTCCACATATGTGATATCGCAGACAAGAAATAAGAGAGCCGAAGCTGCTTCCTGTTTTTAGAATATGATTTTGCAATCTTTCCATTTTCGGCCTTAGGCCATGGCCCATGGATTGGGTTTTGTGGGAAGTTCTTCCCTTTATTTAATAAAAAAAACTATTTATTTAATAGAATACTGTACATTTAAATGCATTCAACCAAGGGATATTCTTACGACAAATATCCACTGTGACAATATACATCTACTGTGTGCCGCTCATTTCATTTCGGTGGAAGTGGATATTAAATAAAGCCATTTCACACATACACAGACGTGTACAATACATGCGCATGTCATATATTTACACAATGGCCACACGTGTGTTAATTCTCGCCTTCACCCCGTTATAATTTACTTATTTTGAGAACAAACGCCAATACTTCTCAACCACCAAGCTAACAGACAAAGGCTTTCGACAAATCTACAGGAAGCCATTTCATTCTTTAAATTTGACCCATTCAGGTGGTTAATACAATGTAATCATCAGATACAATACTAATGTTAAGCAGGCTCTTTACAAAAACAAAGTCTGGCTCCCTAAGAAAACATCCCTTTTCAATTCTTAATCGCGGCTACAATTGATACACTATTTGTTTTAATTGTTGTTTTAATAATTGATAATTGTGTTTGTTTTAATATGCATCTGCTTTCTTTGAAATAATAAAGCATTATGTACCTACCCGTGGTATTGTTTCATCATGAAGTCCATCAAAGAAAAACAATTAAATTGTTGATGTAATAAAGATAAATATTTGCTAATATGTACTTACAGGCAGCGGCCATTCTTAAGCTATGAATATACTCATCTATAAATTATTCGCCTCTTTGTATTGTGATTTAATCATAAATAACATATTGTCTGTATTATATTTTTAAAATGAATAAATCAAGCCTTATAATGTAATTTAATTGGTCCGAGTGGTTCTTTGGGTTTGTCCGAGTAGCAAAGATAAATATGGGTCCGATATTATGCAATATCGATGCAGGTTCAACCACGAAACTTGCGTATTCACCGCCTAGTATAACTTTCGAGCTTCTGATATATCTAGATTTTAAACGCAAACATACATGTATGTATAAGCTTATACATGTAGATTGCAGCTACACAGGGTACATGTATATGCAGTAGGAATTCAAGTTGGACGTACAAAAGAATGGAATCATTCAGAAAGTGTACTCAAAATAAGTAAATTATAACGGGGTGAAGACGAGAATTAACACACTCGTTTAGGACTTCGAATTGTGTCTAATGGTTTGGATTGTTCGTACTTCGTTCGTTCTTGGTGTTTAACGTCTGCTTCCACATAAGTTTTATTTTATTTATAAATATATGAGGTGCATGTAATGTACACGTATGTGTGTGTGAAATGGCTTTATTCAATATCTGCTCCCACCGAAATGAATTGGGTGACATAAAGTAGATGTATATTGTCACAGCGGATATCATTCGCCGAGTAAAACAGCGTAAGAATATACATGTAGTCCCAATCTTTGGCCGCGTTTCTGACCACGTAACATACCGTTTAGCGACCCGCGGAGTGATTTACTGTACGTGCTGTATGAATGACTGATTTAGATTAATCGAAGCTGCGAGTAATGTACACGTATGTGTGTGTGAAATGGCTTTATTCAATATCTGCTCCCACCGAAATGAATTGGGTGACATAAAGTAGATGTATATTGTCACAGCGGATATTATTCGCCGAGTAAAACAGCGTAAGAATATACATGTAGTCCGAATCTTTTGGCGCGTTTCTGACCACGTAACATACCGTTAAGCGACCCGCGGAGTGATTTACTGTACGTGCTGTATGAATGATTGATTTAGATTAACCGAAGCTGCGAGTGATGAAGTAATGTGTAAAAGCTCATCGTATATAATTTAAAGTTTGGATTTGATAGCAGCCCCAAATTGACGGATTACATCTAAGTTATAGACGAAGATGAATTGATATGTTTAAAAAATTGTACGTTGTTCATAGTTTGCATACATTTTGGCCAGCGTTATGTATATATTAAGAGCGTTGGGGAAAAAATCCTAACCGATACAGAATGCCGGTAAATGTCTTCCCGAGATTACCTAACTCATTTGTTATTCAAACCGGCCTGTACATTATACATGTACACGTTTTCCCGGGAGCCTTACTATATTACAACTCCTTTAATTTATTATAGACAATATTAGTTCGACCCTAGCTTAAGGTAGGCTCGCGAATTCCTTGCGGGAAGCACGGCAAAACACGATGTATTCTTATCAAAACACGGTGAATTCCTAGAGAAACATGGTGAATTCCTAGAGAATCTTAAAGAAAAATCGCCGCGGAATCAAGCGAAATTTCACCGTGAAATCTAAGAGAATTCCGGCGATTTCGGTCCCAAAAATTTGGGAGGAACTGTAATTACTGGAATCATAAAATTTGTAGGTCACATCAAAGGTTTAGGGTCATAAAGGTCGTAAACTTGCGAGACAATTTTCCCATCAACGGCTGCTGCCGGCCTTTATTGATCAATAAAGTTATAAAAAAAAGACGATTGGCTTTCCAAAAGTAGTTATCCAATAAGCGTATAGTTTGAACTAATGATTGAAATCATAAAACATATACGTCACATCAATGGTTTCGGGGTTATAAGGTTGTGAACTCTCGAGAAAATTTGTGTCATAGGGCGCCATCTTGTACGCAAGTTTAATATTTTCACGCTCGTTCATCTACTAATTTCTTTGCTATGGAAAGTGATCCCGATTCAGAATTTGAAGGAATTTTATCAAAGGATATTATTTACATGTGAATATTAATCTCAGTAATGACAAATGTTCCGGGGAAAGTGATTTTTCCGAGATATGAAACAGAGAAGAAGATATACGTGATATACGACGTACCAAAAATGGCAGCCACTCTTTGTTGAATTGTAATATCCCAGCGCTCACTCTTTTAATAATTTCCTCGCTATGGAAAGTGATTCCTAATCAGAATTTGTAGGATTTTTATCAAAGGGTATTTTAGGTGTGAATATTAATCTCAATAGTGTTTGGGAAATTGTTTTTTCCGGGATTATAAACGGAGAAGAAAACCCAGATACGACTTACTACGGAAAAAAATCAAAATGTCGGCCCGTGGTCGGCGAATACAATACCGACTTTGTTCAGCAAACTAAGTAAAATTCAGTGATTTTTTCAACATTTTTAGGGCATTTAAATGAGGATAAAAATTGTTGATTTTTTAATTTGTTCATTGTAGTAAATCTAGCACATTTTGATCGTCAATTAGACGAATGCCTACGGAAGCATGCTATGGCCTGTTGTACAATGTGCTTGTGCTAAACATTGTTGAATTTAAATAAAGAATAACTTTGTTGTTACTTTGTATTAGTGCTTAAAAGTTAGACCATTTTGATGCCCAATTATATATCTTCATTTGAATATATGAACATTTTTTGACTGGAATAATAGTTTGTGTGTTATTTTGTGTTCTCTGCAATATATTGGATTAATGGATAATCCTTTAATTAGCTCCAGGGAGATAAGCCATTGTCTAGTTAATTGGCTTAGGGAGAGACAGTAATAGATAATGAATTAAGTCTAGGGGTCAATGAATTAAAAGAAGACAAAATGACAATAACAGAATGATTCCATGATATAATGGTATATACGGTCCATGATATAACAGATCAAAGAAACGCATATGCCAATCTTCACACGTAGGCACACGTACTTTACCAAAATAAACGATCAGAGGAATGGTTTAATTAAAACACCGAGTCACACCGTGTTTTCAACACTGAGGTAGTGCTATCGTGTCACTCGATATTCGCTTGGTAAATCACGGAATTCCACGATAAAAACACAGTAATATCGTGTTTCGACAAACCTTCGCGACATTCGAACTGTATCAAACCAACTTACATAAACACTTTTAGTTTGATCTAAATCAAAGAGGTTATCTCCTGTAATCAAATCAATTGCGGTATAACAATCTCCACATAACGATCGCTCTACACAAACTAGATAATTTTGGGACTGACATGGTTCAATTTTATTACAATAATTTATTTGCACGTAGGAATTTTTAGTAGGGGAAGGAAACCAGGAAGATGTACAGACAATCCTACTAATTGTCGCATATAAGTTGGAAATCAAAACCATGTCACTTGACACAATTACAGACCTTTAAACCACTGTCACCCAATCATCCATTTCCAAGCAAAGCAAATGTACTTACTCATCTAATAGACCAGCTCTTGGTTCTGATCTATAGTCATCTCTTTTAGGCGGAAGGTATCCACCCCTATCTGGATAAGAACTTTGACTAGAATAACGATCATCTCTCCTTTCTGAATAAGAAAAAGTATGTATTGCTTCAAATTGTGCAAACAGTGCATGTAATTCTTAGTATAATTTAGGACTAAAACTGAACTATCTAAAACATTACTGCAAAATTCATAACATTTAAATTAAAAGTCAATTTTTTTCAACAACAATTTTGAATACAATTACAAGCAGCTGAATTTCTCAGGACATCGCAAAGCTAACAGACATTTGTTGTATTTCAAACGTTAAAAGCTCTTTTGCTTTTAAATTTCTCTGTTTAAAAAAGCTAAGAGTACACAAGAATAACAATTAAAATTTATTAGTGTATTTGGTAACTATTTTAGTAATTAAATGAATTCTAAAAATATATTTCACCATAAGCTGGAGCTGCGCGCGAGTTGAAGTCCGACTGCCGTCTTGGTGGAGGTCCATCGTCTCTGCTCCCACTATAACCTCCAAAGTCTCTTGAAGGGGGTGGACCTCTTGATAAAAGTGGACTTCTTCTCAATGGCGATCTTTCTCTTGGACTTCTGTCATATGTATCTCTTCTGTCAAAGCTTTCATCTCTTCCTCGACTGAAATGAAATGAACTGGAGTTTAACGTCCTACTCTTCCTCGACTGAAGAAAATAAGTTTAGTTTGTCACTGAGAAGGACAATCATTCAGAACAATTATAGCTGTGAAATATTGACACAAAAACTTAATTTTTAAAGTTCTATGGTCAGAAATTAACAATTATTTCTGACTATTTTTCTCATTTGATGCATAGTATTTAGGTTGTTAATTGTTTTATCGGCTAGTGCATCAAGGCATCTGTTGATAACAGTCTGAATACAAACAGTAAGCCATTTTAGAAATGCTAGCTTCAAATTTTGATTATCTAGTCTTACCTGACAGGAGCACCTCGTCCTCTACTACTTGTGTACCCTCCTGAACTTCCTCCTCTTCTAGCACCCATAGGGGGTCCCCCTCGTCCTCGGCTAGAGAAACCACCTCGTCGTGGAGATCCAGACATTTCTGAATTTACTTTTTTGACTGCTTCTGTAACGTGAATGGTACTTCCGTTGATTTCCTGAAAGATGAGACATATACTGTGCAATATTGGACACCCACCAAAATATGTTCATAACTCAATCAACAGAAATTGGTTTAGCTGTTAGAAAATATTGGAGGATTGGACAGATCCAGAAGTAACTCTTGTAATAATAGAATGAAAAGAGAAATGTGGTTTAAAGTTCATATTAACAATAACATACATATCATATACTGTATATTTTTATTTCAACAATTCGCTAGTGCACAAGAATGCCAGAGTCATAGAAGACAAACAATTAGATTTTCATTAATGGCACATATTATAACGTAAAGGACAAGAAGTCAGGGACCATGATAATGTTCTATACAATTATTATAATTATATATACTAGTGTTGTCACGATTACAAAATTCTTGAATCGGTTAATCGGCTAGCCAAAAATCGTATCTGTGCCGATTAATCGAATGCCGTATAAATTCTATAATAATGTAAAATAAATTTTTCTTTCGTTGGCTAATAATGTCATTGTCTGTACTGCATTACAGGGGTTTTCCCTTGTGATTGTTGATATGCATGAGCACTGAATAGCTGACCGTATATTATTTTAATACATTTCTTTGGGTTTGAGCTAAAGAGATGTTGGAATACATTTTTTTAAATTGGCAATAAACAACATGTACCAAGTCATTAGTTTTGATATTTAGTTACACATTGGACTGAGTAAGAGTAGACATCCCTGCGTTCTGATTTACCCCCACAGCTTTAACTGCTAATTAAAAATCCAATACTGGCAATAGATTACAATTCACTAGTACAACAATTCCCGTACATAATATTTTAACATATATAGCGATAATCATATTGACGGAAAACAACAAGAGAACCCGCACAAGACGTACAAATAAAAAAAACATGTGTCTTTAAAAAAGGCGGCAACATATGCCGAGGGAGGAGAAAAGAAGAGCCTCCTGACTGGTAATGTCCGATTTGGGAACTGTTTATTCCCGTCTCGGACACAGTAACGTCACATTCTGATTGTGAATTAAATAACAAAATACAACTGGATTTAAAATTATTTTATACATGAGGAATTTGTGAGGGAAACTTTCGATTATATTGTTGGAGAATTGTCTTCTTTCAAAACTATTACTTTATCAAAATTACATTGGTAGTTTATCACTCGTAAAAAGGCATCCCCAACTTCCCCATCTCGTGCAGCATGCATTCAGTCCATGTATTATAAAGTTCTGTGATATTATCATGTCTGTTATTGGCGGACATGGCCGTTGACAGCTATTTCGCGCCAAAATCAACCATTTTACGCATTTCGTAGTAAGCCATTCCTAATATGGAAGGCGAAGAATACCATGCGACATCGAGTTCGTGTCACTGTAAATGGGAATTTCTGTATTGAGCCTTAAAAGACGTAGTTTCAATACGGTTTTAATATGCAGCAATTCAGTAGTGTGTTAAGCAGACAGTAAAAGTCAAACGTTATATGTAATTGTATCAATATAAATTAGATGAAACGACTACCGATTTTTCAAAATGTGAATCGGTTTGAGCTAGAAACCAAATCGACTACAACTAAACCGTTTAATCGTGACAACCCTAATATATACTACATTTTTGTATTTTCTATATTGTAAAAATACCTACAGTATCATTCAATCCTTTACAAGCATCAATAGCGTCCTGTGGGTTCTCGTAAGTAACAAACCCAAATCCTCTGGACTGTTGATGTATTTTATCTTTAATAACAAGAACTAGAAAGAAATTAAGGTAAAATTCAAATATGTCACTAAACATGCATTATGCAAGAGCTAAATCTGCCTATTGCAGGTCTTTCTTTAGACCTGAAATGTTATGTAAACTATAGTGCTATTAGAGTTAGACATTTATTAACGTGACAAGATCATAATCAATTCTCAGCCATAGGATATCTCCGATATTAAACATACATTATGCAAGAGCTAAATCTGCCTATTGCAGGTCTTTCTTTAGGTCTGAAATGTTATCTAAACTATTAATTAGACATTAATTAACTTATCCAGGCCATAATCAATTCTTAATGGCATCAGATTTCTCCGATATTATAGATTAGAACAGTTCAGCCATGTTTTGATTTAAGCTAAAAAAAAATGGAGGAGCAAGACATAGCTTCGAACAACCAGTACCGTGGTTGAAATTATTGCACATCTTGTCAAAAATTCAAAGTCTAATATCTTTGCTCCCAATAATTTGAATGAAATTTTCAAATTAATCATTTTACATTACCTATTTTCGAATATTATAGCAAGAATGGCTAGCTCTGTATCTAAATCTTACATAATGTATCTTTAAATAAATTAGAACGATTCAGCCATATTTTGATTTAATCTAAATATGGAGGAGCAAGACTTAGCTTTGAACAACAAGGCCGGTGGTTACAATTAATGGACACATCTTGTCAAACCTTCAAATACTTATATCTTCCCTCGCAATAGAGTAATTTGAATGAATTTTTCAAATTATTCATTTTACTTTATTTTCGAACTATTAGTATAGCAAGAATGACTAGTTCTTTATCTAAATCTTACATAATGTATCTTTAACTTACAGACTAAAAGAGGGAGGCACTGTCATGTATTTGAACAATGTACATGGGCCCAGGCTCCACATATATTATATTATATACTCTGTAACCATTTTTCAGACAAGAATTGTGTGCAAACTAGACAAATTTATCAATATGATTTTCTTCAGTACAGTACATGTACTTTGGGGTATTTTTCTGTGGAAACCTTTGTTTGGAATTGATCCTCTGCCATTTTGAGACAATTATCCGCAGAGGATATGCCAATTTTTTGCCTAAGTCTAATATTGCCTAAGTGAGTAAGTCTAATATTGCTTTACTGTACTACTATCAGATTGTATTAATCTTTGGGATAATGTGGAGATGAGACCCATTTGCTTGTCATGAACTAACATACACTCAGAAACTCAAACACAAATGACATTTGAAAAATGTAAAGCGCTTTTACATATTTTTTTAGATGTTAATTAAATGGTCCATGTATCAATAGACAGTGCACGGAAAAGATCCCTTCACAGTTGCATTCAAGTTTCAAGAGACTTGAACATCTTACCAGTCCCATTGAACATGTTCCATAACCATACATGTATCTCAATCGGACATTAAAGTTTACCCAAAACAAAGTTTATATACTTTTAAAAGTGATAAGTTGTTGAGATTTATCTAATAGGCTTATCCTGTACCTATATTTTAAGAACTATATGGATTATAAAGAAAAAACTTGCTTTAAAAAAAATCAAAATATAAATGTAACCTTCTATAATTCTTCCGTATTTTCCGAACACTTTTTCGAGGCGGTCTTCAGTTATATCAATAGATAGCCCACCAATAAATAGTTTTCCAGGGCGATCTTTTTCTAGCATATCTGGCATTCCTTCACCACTATCATACCTGAAATGAAATTATAATGCAAAGGTACAAACCATGGTTCCTTTCAACAAAGTCCACGACAATACCAGCAGGCAGCAGCTACATGTACATTGTCAGATGCGGAATAATTGTCATCCTAATTTCCAAAATGCTCACAAAAACCGATCTGAGGTAATTAAACATTTGCCCACAGTATAGAATCTAATAAAGCATGTGAAGCATTGTCGTGATCCGTAGTATTGATTACAGTGCTCAAAATGTTTGTCCATTTACTTGCCGCCAATAGGCGAATTTTACAACTGACAGGTAGCAAATAAAACTCGACAGGTAGACCTAATTTTCATTTAACGTTCAATAAACTGATTTCAATTCACACTACTCACTTATCAAATCAGGTATAGTTATTTATTCATTTCCAAAACTGTTATGATGTAAGAGATAACTACGAATCAATAGTTCAAAAACTTGCTATTTGCATTCAGAGCCAATTCTGTAATAACCTATTTTTAACATCCCCTTCTTCATTGGCTTGGTGGGTGCAGAAAAGTAAACAGTTAAACCCATTTTATTTCATTTCCTTCACAAATGTACGCTTATTTTCTTTTGTTTGACACTAGTTTACAGCAGTATGATATGACACCTCAAGTCACATTTAGGTGACCTCATTCTACAAACAATGTAACGCCACCACGGTACCGACCGTAATATCGTGGCTCGAATGGAAATCTTATCATTGCAAAAATTTAGAGCAATGTCCAAAACAAAGGTTTATGTACAATTTGACAAAAGAAAACAATTTGGTCAAAAGAGAATTTTATAAATATTATTTTTAGTGTAAATTATAGCCCGTTCAGACGCTTAAGTTGAACTGGTTTAAAAACCCCGGGGCTCGTTAAACCAGTTTAACTTTTGCGTCTGAACGCAAATGTGGGGCAAATAAACCAGTTTAAAAAACCCTGCTCGCGACCTGTCTTCGAGAAGGCTTTTTATTTTAAACTGGTTCATCTTAGCCGTCTGAACGGGTTGGTTTAAAACCCCCAGCTCCAGCTTGCTTCGAGCATGCGCAGTAAGCAGTTAGTTACATTCCTGTGAAAATATTGGGGTCAGACAGTGCCAATGTTATCGAAAGCGTGCGAGAACCGAATAAAGAATATGAAGCTACCCATGCGTAGTTAACTCTAACCTTCGACCAAAGAGGCCAGAATAGTTAAACTGGTTTGGCTTATAGTACGTGTGAACGCAACACTATGCTGTCTTAAAAACCCCAGCAATTATGAACTGGTTTAAAAATAAGCGTCTGAACGGGCTATACGTCGGGATGTGAGAAAAGAATTCCTGGGGTGGCACGATCAGCTGTACTCTACATTTCAAGGCCTGGCATCACATTTCGCTTTGGAAAACTGGACCAACACAGTGAACTGTAAAAACAGATTTATATCAAAATTGATTTACAATAGAACGCATTCATAAAATGTTAACAAATTAAAGTTTTATTGTATCCATGATAAATTACATACACTTTAGCTACTGGGCGATTCTCGCAAGAATTACACATCAAGACAAACAAAAAAAATCTTTGATAGCCACTACTTTTTCATATGTAAAAAAATGACCATATTTGATGAATATCATTAAAATTTTGTGATATTTACTTCATTTCATACTTTATGGCAATCTGTATATCGATGTACATTGACAAAATTTTCACTGATAATAACTCATTATTTCATTTGTTTATCGAGGAAAAATAAATATTGCTTAAAGGGACTATGCCGATTTGAACATTGTCTCAAAAATAAAAGTCTGGGTACATATGAAATTTAAGCACCTAAATATAGAGAAATGTTGTATTTACCTTGTCTCAAAATTTCAGCTCCAAATATTGAGTCGTTTGGATGTGAAAGTCAAAAATGCTTATCCGGACACGTAACCCATTTAAGATTTCGGGTCAATTTTTCCGTTGGGCGACCTGATAATCGATTCCCATTTATTTAGAGGTCTATACAGTGAATGACCTGTGTGCTGTACTTCATAACGAAGGGTAAATTTCACCTACACATTATTTTTATAAAATAAAAGTCTGGTTTTATCCAGACACCATATAATACAGTTTGGACACAGGTTTCCATTTCCAGATGAAGACTGGCGGGTTTAAGTTGTTTGAAAACGTATGCAAAATATGGAGTTAGTTGCTCGTCTCTTAGGTAGAGGATTTTAAGGGATTTCAACACAAAATGAAACATTTTTATTCTTCAAAATATTATCGGGATTGGTCCTTTAAAGTAAAAACCAAGGGTGAAATTGAAGTTGAGAAGTTATTCAATGTGTATAAATCAAGAAAATGTGTTAAATATCAAGCCTTTTCTCTACACCTCGTGTTGAATAAGCTTATTGTCATGTGTAACGTACGTAACAAAATGGATATACTAGTTTAATTAAATTGTTTAAAATCACTAATTATTTCAAATCTTCTAAATTCAGAAAATAACATTGTCATCAATCAAATGTTACTTATGTAAAAATGAAAACCCAATTAAAATTGTAACGCACCAATTGGTACTTAACCCTTTCATTGCGTCTACCCGGTAGTACCGGGTATTATAAAATTTCAGTAAAATATGCGTACCCGGTATTACCGTGTACTCAATAAAGCCGTCGCTAAAATTAGTACCGTAACTGCAAGTGCCATCTATTGTATTTTCTATATACTAGAACATATTTCCACGTGTTTCAAAGCGGCAAACCGTAAAATGGCGGAGTGCATAGTGACAACATAGACGATGCACTCTCGACGAAGTTGTGAATGACGTCTTGCTGACCAACACTTGGACAATTTCGAGGCAGGTGATACACATAATTCGTTTCCAGTTACTTGATAATGATAGTAGTGAGGACAGTGATTGGTATTATGAAGTGTGTGATTTGTTGTGCGACGTTCCGCCCATGGTTAGCTATGTCTCCAGTGCATGATGAACAAGCCCAATGTGAACACGATAGCCCTATGTCTGCAGTAGATTCTGACAATAATTCTGATGTTGATAATAATGCTGGCCTGCTGGATCGTAAAAGATGTAGGGAATTCCTGAGTCCTGAACATGTAGATCTATTGACTGACTATATTGATAATGATATGGGACTTGGAGATAAAAGTGAAAGTAAAAGTATTCAGATCACAAATCTCGATCCGATTTTCAACACTAATGTTTATAATAACTAATGTTAAGTAGTTCTTTCATAAGCGAAGAAATCCATTTAAAATTGAAGACGGTTCAGACAGTAGTAGTAGTAGTTTAAATAGACTAGATGAAAACTGAATTATTAGTCTATATTATAATAAATAATCATTGTATAGGCCCAAGACTAGAGTAGAACTACTAATAGTACTAAACATAAAATTATAAAATACAATTCGGAAAATTGACTAACTTTTAATTAAAAATAAAACATATGGGCCTAGTACAGTAGTACGTTGACCCGGCTACTAGTACTAACCCTAACCAGCCGGATCAACCTACTGCGCCAACATAAATATGTAATGTTCTTCTAACTACTAAACTAGGCCTATGTAGTAGGCTACGACTACTAGTACTATGAATGCAATTCACGACACAATTCAAATGGGGTTTAACGTCCTACTGTACTGCTCCGATTGAGCTACATGTAATGGAGAAGGGGAAATCACAACACAGCATCTACTGAACTGCGACTGTTGAGGTTAGGCTACAAAAACCGGTGGGGCCGGGGCTCTAATTCTCTAAGTCAGTGTAAAAGTACCGTACGTCATTGTGGTAACACTTGAAAAATAACTTCAGGTTTCAAGAAATACTGTAGTCTAAACCAAAGCTAGGGTTATGGTTTTTTATAAAGATGAATATATAATTATTGGCATTTGATTCTAGCACATGTATACCTTAGTAATTAACCCGTGCTTCTTTCTTTGCGACTTGAAGTTGAATAACACGCAACCACCGGTCTTACAAAATCAACATGGCGTTTTGTTTCTTCAGCGCCCTCTTGGCACGGTAAGCGTTAGATCCTTCCCATTCGGCAAACCTCGGCAGATTCTACGAATGCTAGCTGCAGGGTACCGGAATCTGCCGAGGTTTGCCGACTGAGATCCTTCCTCGCGAGGCCGATTTTGACGGTTAATCTGCTGAGCGAGGCAGATGTAAGTTCCGCCTCTTTCTTGTTTAAGTCCCTCCCATTTTATTTGAAGGTCGCGTTTAGAAAGGACTATTTATTGTTAATAATAAAAGAAATCTCAAGATCTAGAGCTACTACTCTTACGTACACCTAGTGGTTTACGTGGTCCTAGTGTGTGATCATCAATAGTCACTCTTAACACTTCCTGAAAATTTCAAGTATCTACGACCACGGGAGGTACGAAAATGTACTCTCCCTGGCCTGTTCTACCGGGTACTCGGAGTATAAGTAGTCGATGAATTTCCCTTTTTCTGGAATATACTGTCTAATATTCTAAAAAATATGTTAATCACTTACTGAAGTATCATTTAATTTACAAAATATTATTTTTCAATGAAAATTAATTCATAGAAATTATTCTGCCTAGTTATTTTGGGCCCGACTAATCACCGGAATTCATTTACAATCACCGGAATTCACATATTACAACGCACACAGATATTTTTACTGACTTTATTGATATGAATATTTAATCTGGTATCAATATAACGCCGTAAAAAGCCGTGGTGACTCCTACACTACAATAACAATATGAAAATTGTGAAAGTTTTTCAGCTTGGACGCCGGGGAGACATTCCTCACGGAGTTAATCACTTTGAATTGCACCTGACGTCAGAATTTTTGGACCAAACCCGAATTTTTGGACAAAACCCTACCCTAACCCTCACCCTAACCCTAGCACGCGGTGCGTGTCAGTGCTGCTAAAAATAAACCATCATCTCGTTTATCAACGCGAGATTTCGTCAATTCACCATGACCGATATTGTGAGGAATGTCTCACTTGTGCAAAATTTAAGTTTTTCAATCAAACAACATTAAGAAGGGAGGTAATTCTAAGCATAGAGTTATTCGGTAACGTCACTTGAAACATAATGAATACATCGTCTATTAGCTTAAAGCGTTACAGCACACTCCCCGTCTAATATCTACTTGATATCACTTAAAAATAGAAAATAATATAAAAACACAATAAAGATGTCACAAGGAATGTTAATTCACAACTGTTTGTTAAAGGGTCAATCCCGATAATATTTTGGAGAATTAAACTGCTTAATTTTGTGTTAAAATCCCTTAAAATTCTCTACCTTAGGGCCGAGCAACTAACTCAACATATGTGATACGTTTTCAAACAACTTAAACCCCTCAGTCTTTATCTAGAAATGGAGACCGGTGTCCCAAGCTGTATTATGCGGTGTCTGGATAAAACCAGAATTTTATTTTATAAAAATAATGTGTAGGTGAAATTTACCTTTCGTTATCAAGTACAGCACATGGGTCATTCATTGTAGAGACCTCTAAAGGAACGGGAGTCGATTATCAGGTCACCCAACAAAAAAATTGACCCAAAATTTTAAAAGGGTTACGTGTCCGGATAAGGAATTCTGACGTTCACGTCCAAACAACTCAATATTTTGAGCTGAAATTTTGAGACAGGGTAAATACACCATTCCTCTATATTTTGGCGCTTAAATTTCATACGTACTCAGACTTTTATTTTTGAGACTCTGTTCAAATCGGGATAGTCCCTTTAATCTACCAAGAGAACTAATTCTGTAATTGGGCGAGTATATGTGACAGTTTTACCATCTTTCACTACGCGTAGCACAACCTTGCGGACTTTGTTGTCTTCACTTTCAAGAGTTCTTGTAACTATTCCCAGCGGCCATTCATTTCTATGAAGATCTTTGTCTTTAAGCAAGATCACGTCACCAACTTTGATATTTGGTTTATCTTCAATCCATTTTCTTCTTGACTGCAACGACTGGAGATATTGATCTTTTCAGTTCTTCCAAAACATATCAGATAGAAATTGTACGTTTTACCACTGACTATGGTAGGTTTCTTTGATAGAAAGTTTTTCACTACTTGCTGGTTTAACACCTGGCTTGTGCGTTAACAACAAAGATGGAGATAAGATCATAGGTGCTTCAGGATCTGTTGAAATCGTTGTAATGGGTCTGGAGTTAATAATAGCACTGGTTTTAGCCATAAAAGTTACTAAAACGTCATGAGTGATGTTTTTGGCATCGATCCCAGTAGTAAAGAATCTAAGATTGTTCTGGTTGCACCAATCATGCGCTCCCAACTTCCTCCTATATTTGAGGAGTGTGGAGCATTAAAAATCCAAACACTTTTATTATACAAAAAGTTCTTGACAGTCTTGTCTTCTACATTAATAGTGTTTATTTTCAATAAATCAGCTGCACCTACGAAATTAGTACCTCTATCTGACCTAAACTCTTCGACATCACCCCGAATGGCGATGAATCGTCTTGAGGCGTTAATGAATGCTGAACTTGACATATCTTCCACAACCTCAATATGGACAGCTCTGCTACTAAGACAGGTAAACAGAACAGCCCAACGTTTATTATTTGCTGATCCACCCCTGGTCCTTCTGGTAATCACGGTCCATGGGCCGAACACATCTACACCGACTGATTGAAATGGCGTTCCATCTGACACCCGATCTACAGGTAAATCGGACATACACGATTCACTAATGGACCACAAAGTCTTCTGCATTTAAAACAGTTCTTGATAACTGAAGACACCAATCTTTTAGCACCAACTATCCATAGACCGTTGTTTCTCAAGGAACCTTCTGTAATATGTCTTCGTATTTCTTCAAAATAAGAATACAGTTGGACTTGTTTAATTACATATAATTCAGCTTCTTTAAAGGACTCTGGACGTTTTTAGCGAAGTATCTTCTACAATAGGACGAATATCTTTGTCCAACTGCGGGTTGGTTAAAGGAAAGTCACCTTCAGAAGAGTGACTGCCTTCTCTATCTTCACGTCATTCGTTGTTTCCGCAGGACCTAACGACCACCTACTGTCACTTATAATTGCAGCTAATAGATGTCTTGAACCTTGATCAGCAGGATTGTTACAGCTGCTTACATAACTCCACTGTTCTGATTTGGTAAAGCGTAGTATCCTTTCTACTCTATTGCTGACGTAAACTCGTCGGATACGATTGTTAACATATCCCAGTACAACTCGACTGTCAGTAAAGAATTTGATTTTACTTAAGTCGACTTCAAGATGCTGTACTGCGACTTCAGCTATTTCAACGGCTATCACAGCAGCACACGATTCCGGACGTGGAATAGTGTGTCCCTGTTTTGGAGCAGGTTTGGATTTTCCTAATACAAAACCATAATGTGTAGATCCACTTCCTGTAACTGACTTCAGATATGCTACTGCTGAAATTGCTTGCTCGGAAGCATCTGAGTAAACATGCAGTTCTACATTACTTGTAGCCGTGAGTAATGTCGGTAGATACATCCTTGGTATGCGAAGGTGATTTAACAAGACTAACGAGTCTCTCCATTCTAGAGTAGTATCCTTTCTACTCTATTGCTGACATATGTGTAAATCGACGGATACGATTGTTAACATATCCTAGTACAACTCGACTGTCAGTAAAGAATTTGATTTCACTTAAGTCGACTTCAAGATGCTGTACTGCGACTTCAGCTATTTCAACGGCCATCACAGCAGCACACAATACCGGACGTGGAATAGTGTGTCCCTGTTTTGGACCTAGTTTGGATTTTCCTAATTCAAAACCATAATGTGTAGATCCACTTCCTGTAACTGACTTCAGATATGCTACTGCTGAAATTGCTTGCACAGAAGCATCTGAGTAAACATGCAGTTCTACATTACTTGTAGCCGTGAGTAATGTCGGTAGATACATCCTTGGTATGCAAAGGTGATTTAACAAGACTAATGAGTCTCTCCATTCTAGCCATCTCGATTCATGTTCGGATGGTAGTGGTTGATAACATTCCATGGTCAGTATTGTCAATTCCCAGAGAATTTACTTGCCATGTATGGTGACAGGAGATAGAAAACCAATTGGGTCAAAAATACTGTTGATAACCAACAAAACTCCTCTCCGTGTATATGGTTTGTGATCCTTTTCAAATTCAAATACAAAACAAGTAGTGTTGATATCCCAAGTCATACCTAAACTATGTTGAGTCGGTAGGGTATCTTCGCTGAGAGTTAAAGACACAAAACTTTGCACATCGTTTCTTATTGGTGTATTTGATACATTAAAACAACAAAATTATTATAAAGGGCTATATTTTAGTTAAAATAAGGGCTATTCCCAAACACATGGATACACATTCTAAACTCTATCAGTTCGTTCTGAGGGTTGTTTTCTTTATACCAGAAAAAAAACGGAGAAAGTCGCGGTGCTGTTCACTAACATAAAATAAATAAAACATCTGTTCAATATCCGCTGTGATTGCGAATTCATCTCGGCAAAACCGTAACAAAATAACCAGGAGGTTATTTGTCAGGTCAGGACCAGTCAGCAATGTTTTTTTTTGAGTGAGGTGTTTTCATAGATAGCTGACGAGTTAAAAACACCACGTATCTGATCTGGTTTCTTCGGATGGTATATACCAAATATGGGCAAATACCAAAAATTGCTATTACTGTGAGTTAGAGGTGAGACTTCTTCAGCTGCTCCACTTTTAAATACTTTATCCATAAACGATATAAACTGGTGTTGTTTATTCGGATTTCTTTTCAGATTATTGTCCAACAACATAGCACGATGCAATGCGAGCGGTCTATTATTTATGGCGGGGTATCGGGTTCAAAATGCAATCTAGAGTAAAAAGCAGGAAGTCAACAGTAAAAAGTAGAAAATCTAAAGTAAACGGGAAAATTCTTATCTAAAAGGGTATTCTTATGGTGAAAACCTATAAATTTATGTACTTAGTCAGTAGAAACATCAAGCTTTTCAACTTTTAATCGTCATAATTCTACTTTCATGGACATAATTTCTACTTTCTACTATCAACTTTTGACTTTCGACTTTCCGCTTTCTACTTTC